CATGCAGCCTATCTCAACGTGCATCATGATGTGGAGTCTGCAGTCATTTGCTGACACAGGTTTCAAAGTTTCTCAAGCAGAACTGGGGTATATTCGAAAATGTGCATGTTGCCAGTCAAGGGTAACTGTTATTTACATCCAGTAGAGTCATTTTGATTCACTTCTGACATTTAATTGCTTTGTTCGAATAAAATATTTTAACACTGACATAAGGAACAATCTTCTTCTTTGACCACTAAAGTTTATATTCTAATGCTTTTGTAAATTGTTTGTACTTTTGTTGATACACGCCCTCTGCTGGTGTCATTCAAAATGACAAGATATGTAAGGTCCAGAGAAATGACTCCCAAATGGAAAAAAACATACAGTAAACATTTGTATCTGGCTAAATCCATCACAGCAGTTATAACCAACACCTGGATAAGAAACTAGGCTCCACCTTGAAAATTGCTCACTGACAATATTTGAGACTTTCTCCATACTGGGTTGTGAAAGCTTTGCATCAGCCTGGCTTTACTTGAGCTCAGCAGTGCTATGACAGCAGCCTCAGCTGATTTTCTACTCCCTAAACAAACAGACAAACAAAGTTCTATTTGACATAAGCTTGACCTCTTGATCTCATTCTGGTTAATTATGTAAGAAGGGATTGGTCTGTCTCTCCTGGTCCATGTGAGTTTCAACAGAACTGCCGGCTGCCAGTGGATATAAAAAGTGCTGCAATAATAAAAACCAAGAAGAGTTATAAGTTTATCTAAGTATATATATGTAATATCATTTAATTCTTTAACTCCTGACACCTGAAGAGGTTCATTCACAATCTGTGTGTGCATTTGTGGGTCCAAAATGCCATGATGTTTGACAATGGATTATATACGATTCTTCTGTGGCTGTGTTTCCAAACATACAGAAGGACATCGCAGAAAAGATACTAAAGAAACATCCATCTCATCTAATAATAACCTGTTTTTTTGTGATATCGATTTTACCTGATGCTCCAGACAACAGTGGTGTGTTGCAGCAGGACAAAGTTGTCTTAAATTCAAAGCAAACGTTTAAAAATAAAATAAAATCCCATGCTTGTGTTTGGATCTTCCGACGGTGGTCTCTCAGTGAGCAGACCACTGATCCATATTCTCTCCCGGTCATAACATTTAACCTCAGTCTGACCTCTTCTAAAGGCGTAACTTTGACATGTGTCTCAGTCTTTTCCCTCTAGTTTGAGGTGGAACCTCCAGACCTTTGTGTCTGTGGTGCTTTCAGTGACTTAACCTTGTCTATGGTCTTCTACTGACCCCTTTGGAACAACTCTACCCTCAACCCCTTGACTCCTATTTCTTTCAACCTCATTAATGTGAAAGGGGCCTTTATATGTTACTTGTCAAAACTTGGCCTGCCCTCAGTCCCTTATGACCCCACCTTAAGAACATGGCCAACGTGTGTGTATGCATGTGTGTGTGTGTCGCTCTGTTGAGAAGCAGCATGAGAAAACTCAAGGATACAAAACAATACAATCAATATAATAGAGGGGGCATCTGTGTAATGGTAGAAAAATATAATATCATTCTTCCCTTTTTAACTCCAGTGAACTTTGACCCATTGCAGCTGAATAGAAAAAATCTGCTAGTTTGTCGATGTCAACAGGATTAAAACCCAGATTAAAACTTTTTTGTCACTGTGTGAGGAGCTCACTGTCTAAAACTAAACCTGGATTGTCTGATTATAATCTAACCTAGATAATACTGTCCAAGGTACTGTGTTTGTCCGACTGGGAATTGTAGTAAAACCTGATATTTCAAACCTTGCCATATTCAGTAGTCAGAGTTGTGACAATGTAACTCCTGATGTATGAACATTAGTAAAACTGATGAGATTCGTGGGTCATCAAAGGTGTCAGTTTGAAAAAATATCAGAATACATAGATGAAGTTGTTCATGTTCTAGTTTGTGAAAGACATTGACATATTTATGAAGTCAGGTGGCAGTGTTGTGTCTTTGACAGATAAAATGTCCAAACAAGGCCCCACACTTCTAGATTTCATTTGGATCTCCATAAATCGTTCCAGTCATGTGATTTTTTTTTGTTTGTTTAAGAATGTATTTTGAGGCTTTCATTGTGCCTTTGCTTAGATGGTGTTGGAATGGTACATTTAACCTGGTGAGAGTTGAGGAGAGTTGTGCGGTGGTGAAATGAAACCAACTATTCAAGTGTTAACACACATGGGAATTGCTAAAACTTTGAACAACTCTGTTGTTCAAAAAGAAAGAAAGAAAAAAAATTAAAGTACAGTTTTCTGTTATGGATCACACAGTGCAGTGATGGTTAGCGCTGCTGCCGCACAGCCAGAATGTCAGCAGTTGCTATCTTGGCTTCTACAGATGGCCTTCTTGTGTGGTGTTGGTCTCATGCCCAGGAACCACATTCAGAATCATTCATATGCAAATGAGATAAACTGGTCACTACACATGGGCTGTAGGTATAAATGTGAGAGTTCGGTGTGTAACCAAACCTGACATGATGTGACTGTTGCTGCCCCAGTTAGCCTGGACAACAGTATCGGTCAAAGAGAAAAAATAAATTAGAATACTTTATAATATTGCATACAGTAAACTGAAGGATGGAGAACCCTCACAGACGTAGCTATTTGATCATGTTAGGGCAGAATGGCAGGTTCAGACTCGGGCAGACAGGTCGATGAACAGACCAAACTAAGAGCCACTGCTAGCTTTGTGGCATTCCTCCAAATGCAACAGAGCCAACAGCCTTCCATTCTAGCTCCAAAAGCTTCAAAACCCAGATAACAATGTCCATTTCTTATGAACAGTCTGTGGATGAATATCAGGTTGGATTTATGTGTGTGTGTGTGTGTGTGTGTGTGTGTGTGTGTGTGTGTGTGAGTGTGTGTGTGTATGTTTTACACCAGGTCACAGAAACCAGGAAAAGCATGAGGCAAAGCCAGCTGTTTAAACAGAGATAAATCTGGTCACAGGGCACATGGGTACAAGTCAACGCAAGAATTCACGCTCTCCGCTCACTAGGTCACGAAGCCAAAGGTTACCCTGCTTTGTTATTAAAACATACTGAACAGTTAAAAATAATAAGTTAGTCAATGGCAATAAGTGTCTAATGAGAAACTGATGCTTACGTTCAAAGACTTTTTTTTATTCTTTGTAACTGGCTGTCTCAGGAGGCAACTAAAACAACTGAAACTGCCTTAGGACTAATAAAGCTTTAATCAGGAAAAAAAAATTAAAATAAATTCCAGCTTTGACTGTGTTACAACCACTCTTCTAAATTAGGAAAAACAGGCAGCAACTTTTATGACAGTGTGAAGTCTTGAGTGTGAGAGGGACGTGCAGTCAGTGCACTCAAAGTTTTTTTTTCCCAACACCCTCATCTGTCCAGGTACGTTCTGTTCTCAGTCCTGGTATTTGGCTGTGTTAGGCGCACATGCACGTATAAACACACTCCTGCATGCACGCACACACACACACACACACACACACACACACACACACACACACACACATACACATGGATGGGAAAACAAAGGATAAGGTGTCCTTGTGAGTGTTGGTAACAAATCAAACTGAATTATGTTTACACCAGAATAAAGGCACATTTGTTTAATTTGTGGTTTTCCTCCCAGAGCTGTGACTTATGTGTTGAAAATGTGTGACAAAGGTCAAACCGGGATGCTGTGGTTAAATGTGTTGTCAGAGTGTTTTCTTGCACGTAGTACTGATTTTTGAACAAAGACTTTCCACAGACCATGTTATCTAAGTTCAGCTTCTTCAGATTTTTCATACTTAAGAGCAGAATTTCATTTTCATTTATGATTTTACCTCTAAGAGGAATGACCATCTCAGTTCTAACTCGGGCGTTTGTGTCGTCTCAGACGCCTTTCTTTTTACAAATTTAACAGAAACTCTTTTTGCCTCTAGAAAATATATTCTCAGAGGATTTTGTATAATTTCCTAATTTGTTTTTCTCGCTTTTGGTGAATTTTGTTTTGTAAACTTTTATCTACTCTTTGATGGATTTTCTTTGACCTTGTGTTGAGCTTTAACTTGACAAACTGTCATTTTACTTCAGTTGTTCCTAAAAGGTAATTCATACAGCTACAGAATTATGTTTAAATTTCTGTTGTACACAAAATATGTATGATATCTGAGTCCCTTTAGCATTTTTCCTTCCACTGCAATGTCCTTTACTGGTGTAGTAAAAGTGTCTCTCTTCTTCTGCCTTTTTCTCTCTCAGCAGGACAATATAGATCGTTCCTCCAATCACAGACAAGCTGATCTCATCGGTCCAGCGTTCCAGCAGTCCGTCAATCAGAATTCCCCCAGCCATCAAGGTTAGTTTTCCCCAGCCAGCAGAATGATGTGTGTGTGTGTGTGTGTGTGTATTTGCAGATGCTTATACTGCACCTTAAATGTGTCCAACGTTCTTAAATTACACTGGTATTGTCTGACATGGAGGAGTTTACTTTATTGTATTCTGACATCAGATTACACACAGTATGATTTTACACGTGAGTGATCAGTGGTGCAGACTCACACGACTCACTGTACATCGACCTGATGTAACGTGAACTCCTTTTTTTACTCATTTTACTGCATTTCTTTCTGTGGTGGTGTGTGAACCTGGAGATTTATTTTAAGGTTAGCATTTTAATTAGGATTAGGATTAAAATTACACATTTGTTTTTAATAGTGAGGTTTAGGCCAAGGGGCTAGGGAATACTAAATGATGTCTGTGTATGTCTGACTGCTCACCGAACAAAAAAAGTGTGTGTATGCTAGACTGTGTTTCCTGTGTGTGTGTGTGTATTTAATCTAAGTACAATATAGAAAGCAGCTTCCTGCTCATTATCCTCCTGTGTGTTGGGGCCTCGACCAGTGGATATAATGTATATATTTGTGTCTTTTCAACTGTAAACACTTGAGGAGTTCAAAGAGTGATCTGCACGGACACAGGGTGCCATTATAATGACGCCGTCTGTCTAATTGTAGCACACAGAGTTCATGCATGACAATCGGAGCATGAGATTTAAGTACAATATTGTCTCAGCATGGGAGGTGAAGGCAGGGAGTCTGGGAGTGAGGGAGAGGCAAAGGCCCTGGCGTGAGGAATAAATGGAGCATAAATTAAACTGTCGTATTTCAGGATGGAGGGATGGAGCGGATGAGAGGGAGGCAGGAGACTTCAGATGACTTATTTATTGCTGGCACAGTTTCATTAATAATATACACTATTAGATTTTGGAGTTGAACTCGGGCTGACTTACTGTATGACCTGAACTTTTGTGTAGCATTTTGGTTTGTGTAGCATCTGGTTTATGCTGAAAAAATACCTACTGATCAACTGTATTTGGTGTAGTTTATGTGCTTCAATGGTTAATAGCCATTCCGTAACTAAGGCTTCAAATAACCGACTGTATGTGAACTGTTCATATACAGTAGAGGGAGAATAGTGTCAGGACAGGGTGAAGTGATTAGAGATGGGTGTCAGAGATGATATGTGACACAAGGACAGCAAAGTCAGGGTTTATGAAATTAGTTGCTACAAAGTTCATCTGAGGATCATTAGCATTAGTAAACTCCAGTTAAAAGTTCCTCTTGGGTTTCTACCAAACAATGGCTTTTTAGCAGTTTGTGAAAATGATAGCAACGCTGATGGAGCTTACATGACTGTAAAGCAGTGGTTCTTGAAATTATTTTGCTCATCCCCCACTTTTTGAATAAAGTAATAACATTAAGAAATGCCATATTGTATGATGGATCAAAATCAGTTACATAGAAAATTAAAGTGCAGCTGTGCTATCATCGCTTAAACCTCGAAAATTTCTGCCTGTTTGTGATGCCCCAACTGTCATGTCCCTGTTCCCACTAGTGCTGGACCCACCCTTTGAGAAGCACTACAGTAAGTAATCTTCTGACAACGTCGTCCAAAATACAACATTTATTAGGAACCATAATGCTACCGAGCCAGCATTCGTGAGGTTATTTAAAGGTGTAGACCAGAGGGTGCACATGGGTGCCCCCATGTGGACCATCTTCTCAGTGAACCACGGATGGAACTGAGAGGCATAATTGGAAAACCGTGATGGAGTGAGGTGAAGGTACTGTAGATGACACGCTACGGTGACTCCATAAAGAACCAGCTGAATGAGCGAGACGTGTGATGTCAGCTGAGGACACATCTCTCACTTGTCCTTTGGCAGAATTGCGGTCACGCATGCACAGGAATCTTCCAATACTGTCCTCAAACCACCTTAAAATGTGTTTTTTTGTACACGGATTTACAAGCAAATTCCAGACTGATTCAGCTTTCCACAGACGTGATATAAATAAATATAAATGTAAATATCTGACAGGCAAGTGAGAAGACACCTGAGGTCGCTCCTGGGCAGAGACGAGTGGTGTCAAGTGCTGCTCCACTTTCTACATGTATGCTAGTAAATGTGGCTGTAATAAGGCCACGACATTTGGATTCTATTAGAGTAGCTGTTGCCTGGTGTAATGACTGCTAATGGTAATCCTCGTAAACCTTGGTTTGCTGGTTTTGATGGTATTGTTGTGAAGCTGCTAGGCAACAAATCCCATCAATGGTACCAATGTGGTGTAGAAACCTGAGAGTGTGGCTGTGGAGAGGTTGACCAGCCAAGTCTTAGGCCAACTGTGGTTTGTGGAGATGGAGAGAGAAGGGGGCGGGGGGGAGACATGCAGAGACATGCCAGTGACCCACGTGTGTGTTTTTAGAAGCGCAAGTCAAAAAGTTTGGATATGGATATGTTATATTTTATTTGATCTATTTTGAAAATCTGAGCTAACAGCAAATTTGGTTTTGCTCTAGGCTTTAAGTTTAAGTGGTAAGAAAAGGCAAAGAAGTGTTTTGTGACACTGTTTGAATGATCCCCCACATAATTCTCCATGAAGGAAACACCGTTGTGGAAGTGTTTGTATTCTAACGAATCATTTTCTGTGCAATGCTGTAAGGTCACAGCCTTAGCCCAAAACTGTGATTCACAAGTTGGGGCCACACAGGGTCACTGCTGTAGATGTTTTCCAGAGAAGATTTCATTTTCTTAGGGAGATTATATTATATTCTACTTCCAGTGACAGTTCAGTTTAGGCCACAGACAGAAAAGACAATCCCACTGACTGGGTTCTTGTTGTTGTCTACACACCAACTCCATTGCTCCCATGTGAAGGTTCACATGAGCCACATATTGTTTTAGTTCACACTCACTGTGTGTGTCTGGGTGTGTTTAATTAATGCACTGTATTCTCCTTGCATTCCCCTTGTTCTACAGGAGGCCGACACCTCCTTTGTGTTTTCCTCCAGCAGGAAATTAATGCAAAATGCATAAACAACATTCCAGGATTAGGGGCCCATATGGATCTCCGATCTGTACAATGGTTTTGTTTTTCGCCTACACTTCACTCACTAACAGTATAATTTATATGTTAGCTGTTTGCAATATTTCTGTTTCTTTATTATCTATTTGATTCTTTGAATTAACCGGTGTAAATAAAGAAAAACAGTTTTCTGCACACTCTAATATCTTTACGTGTTTGGATTTTGTGTGTGGGTGCAGTCCTACATGTTGACATGTTTTTCATGTGTCACTTCACCTTACACCCCAGTACATGACGCACAGATTTGTTTGTCTGGTAGTGATATGTGTGATATGCACACAGTAGGTGACTGCGATCCAGTGACCGATAGTGACGCACAAATACTGCATCCATGTGTGGAGAGCACAGCTCCAGTGTCCTTGTTTGCAAACATCTCTTTGTGTTTCCTCCCCACCAGAGGCTAATATAGGTCAGACTGCAGACTGAACATGTCTCCTTAGGCTGGAGGACACATGTCTCACCTAGTCAGGATGTTGAACACATGTGGGAACTGTGCCAAGTTGAAGGTTTCTGAAACGGTCTCCTCAGACCTGACACTGCCCTCAGTCTTATTTATGGCCTGGTCTGCACCCTGTGTCCTGTGTAATGTAGCCCTTTAACTCAGTCTGTAAGTCGCTGCTGGAGCTTACCTGTCACTATTAATAGTTCCAGATTAACCACCTGTAGCGCACAGGCACCTGTGACACAGCTACCTGACACGTTTTCAGCAAAAGCTCCTAGAAGGACTCACTTTAGTGTGATGGTGTAGCTGTGGTGGAAACAGGACCCACTGTGCTGCTGCAGGTAGCTCCTGTTGTTGACCTAAAGCAAACTTGGATGAACCTTGATCTAAAACAAAGTTAAATGAGTCATACAACTCAATATTGCCTTCTGATGAAATGTGTGTGTTTTACTAGAGACACGACACACTGAAAGATCAGAGGTCAATAAAAACTCCAAATTAAAACTCATCCCCTTTCTTGAGAGGAAATAGAAGAAGCTGAAGAAAACCTACACACACAGTGAAACATTTAAACTCCATTCAGATCTAAATACCAGGGACCAGGAGTTTTATTGGTGTAGCGCCAACGTGCTAACTACCGTGCTGCATTTTAGCCCCAAGTATAACTGCTGTTTGTTTAAATTGCTCTTTCTTTTTCTGCCGTCTTTATCTGATTTGACTTAGTCACACTGCTTAAAAGCATTACTTTCAACAACTTAGTGTTGAGACAATTCAAACTCATAGCAAATTCCTAAATGTTCCAATAGTTTGGACTACTTTCTTAACATTGTACACTATTTATCCAAACTTTTGGCTTTAATTACAAGCCAGGATTTAAATAAAAATTAAATTATACCTTTTTTCCACTTAACCAATGCATCATCATGAAATCATTAACACACCCCAAGCCAGCCTCTGAGCTCCCTCCTGTACAATTTAGACTTGTCTCCCTCTAGTGGTCAACTTCTGCCGAACACATTTATGTGATTGGAACCAAACGATTTGATTAATAACACATCATAAATAGCTTTTTCATTAAAAAGAATTATAAATCAAAATCGCTGCAGAATCTGGTTATTTAGGAAGAATGGAGTCAGGAGGTCGGCGCATGAATAAAAACTTGATGGCAGCATGAAGCAATTACAGTAGGCTTGAACATCCCTTCAGATGAGCTTTCTTCAAAACTGTGATGTTTTCAACACGCTCCTGGAGTCTGTTAAAAAAATTCACTTCATGAATTTCAATGTGCTTTGAGGTTGTCAAAAGGGCAGCGAGATGACTTCTCTCACTGCAGAAGAAAATCTCCTTGCCCCCCCCCTTTTTTTTTCTTTCAAAAACCCCCAGATTTTTTGATACATGCACTTAATTTAGAGCAGAAGGTTCTGCTACCAGGCAGTTTCTGTGAACTCCCATCTGGTAAGAGTTAAAAAAGTGTTACGGGCAGGTTTGCTCTTGTACCTGTTATCCCTGGAGATTAGGCACAGAGGGGAGCACAATATGTTTAGTCAAGATAGTAATGCTGATTAAACCCTGGAAGAACAGGATATGTGCAGTGAGTGTGTGTGCTTGTGTCTGTGTCTGTGTGTGTAATTGTTGCCCTTTGTTTTTAGTGTCGAAATGTAGGTGGTTCAAAGTAAAGGTCAAGGGTTCAAATCCTGGCCACAGTGAAATGATAGAGAAACAGAAATAGAACAGGGAAAGTCCCGGCAAGATCCATGTAGAGACCTCACTTCTTTTTTGTGTGACCCAACGTTTGCGGTTTGAAACAATGGCTGAAGATTTTTTTTAAGGGGTTGATGGGTAATCTGTAACATGTTTCATGTTCTGTCCTGGTTCTAGCAGAAGATGATGTTGATCTTGAAGCCTTGGTGAATGACATGAACTCCTCCTTGGAGAGTCTCTACTCCACCTGCAGTGGTCAGCAGACAGAGTCCACACCACTGCTGCACAATGGACAGACCACTTCCTCCAACCATCACCATCATCATCAACTTCATCACACACAGCTGAGCCATCCAAGGTCTGGTCAGCACTCACAAGGACCGAGCCACATCTCTCCAGAACTACTGCCATCTTCCTCCTCATCATTTGGAGACTCACCCCAGACCTCCCTCCGGAGGTCACAGCCTATGCACATTCTTGCTGTCAGGTGAGATGTTCTCATTATGTATTTTTTCTTCCCTATTGCATTGGTGTTGAAGTGAAGAAACTTCCATTTTTTTATTTATCACATGGGGGCAGTTATTGGCCCTGGTGGTTACAGCACTGGACTTTTAACGGGAGGATTGCCAGTTTAAATCCCAACTCTGGCAGAGCTGTGGTTTGTTGAGAAAAGACCAAAAAAAATGTCACTACATCCAACGGTCAAAGCTGCAGCCCAGTGCTAGTGCTGGTCAGGTGTTAATCACAGAGATGTTTCACAGGTGGTTTGAATGTGGAAAAATATTTCACTTACAGGGTTAATATGGTAATAAAAGTAAAATAAATAATGTAGTATATCATTGCTACTGAAGGTTTTCTGAAGGCATTGAAAATGAATTCAAATTTTACTATTCTGATAGATAAGGCTGAAATAAAATGCACCCTTTTTTTTAGATATTTAACTACATGGTATTGAAAATTACATCATAAGTCGTATAGGTTGAACGTCCATTTTTCTGGATGCGGAATTACCAAATACACATTCCAGACATAAACTCAGTCCATCTTCATCAATGCACAGCCACACGTGGGGAACTGTTCTTGTTCTTGGCTCAAAAAAAAAAAAAAAAAGAAATCAACCTCTCACAGTTCAAGTTCAGATTTTAAATAATGGCTTCCTCCTCTCTCTGTATTTGTAGCCTTTCATGTATTTAACCACATGCAAATGTTTCTGCCAATTTACAGTGCAGAAACCCATATTCTCCTCCAGGGTGGAGTGGTATGCATTAAAGAGCAGCCATGCACACAGTACACACAAACATGCATTCCCAGTCGAGGTGCTGTCAGCTCTTATTATATGACTTTTTGGCATTTGATAGAACAGAAAGATGGTCAATTAGGTAATGGAGTATTCTGTCTGATAAGCTCTCTCTCTCTCGCTCTCTCTGTATCTCAAACTCTCAAACACAGACACAGGCTCTGAAGTTGTTATTATTCAGTGCTGACCTCTGGATAACCCTGTTCTCCAGCTCTGATGGGATGACATCAAAAGTCAGCTTTTGCCTTTGCTGTTGTTTGAACTCACTGGGTTGTACACTGAGAACGATAGAGAGACAGAGACAGAGAGAGAGAGAGAGAGAGAGAGAGAGAAATGCTCTTCACTTTTGGAATTCTGAAGCGATCCCACCAACAGACCTGCTCTTTCTCTATAAATAATTTACTCCGCAAAAGAGGACATCCAACTGTCAAATTATCATTCCTTCATCTGCCCTCAAACTCTATGTGCCCGATTTGAAAAAGAAAAAAAAAACTTTCTTTTAAGTGATATTGTGATTTAATATTGATGCCTGATAAATATTGCAGAAAAAAATTATCCCACTAGCTGTGAGAATGTGTGATTTCCACTTGGCAGGAGACGGTTCATTACAGGCAGATCAGACAGAAACAGACATGAGCCTGGTTACTGTATGGCCATGCCTTATTAACTCAAGTATTTCACGGGTGTCAGCAGATATCATTTCAAAGTCTTCCCATTTCACTGTGTAAAAGCCTTTTCCAGTCATTGACCCAGAGCTTGTGTTTTTACGAACCGTTTCCAGAAAAGTTCACTCTCACGCAAATGACTTTTCAGGCGTTCACTTCAAAAAGTAATTTTATTTATTAAACACAAAAACATTAAGAAATAAATGCCTGCAACTCACTCCAGCAAACTTTGAAAACTTGAACTGAAAAGCACCTGGTTTACTGGTCAAATGTTTGGATTCTTAAACATCCACAGAGAGACCGCCTTTGGGGCTGGGACCAGGTTTTGGATCATTTTTGTTTTAAGTGTCCATGAAGATGCAAATAATTGTTTTCAGATACAGAAAATAATTTAGGCCTTTCCTTAGTAATGACTTTATATCGATCGTACAAACTGATAAATTGTATAAATATTCTCTGAGCCAGGAAATGTCTTAGTGTCTATAGGCCAGGGGCAAAAACTGTAGGTGAAAAGGTCAAATGGAATGTAACATCAACGCAGCTACACAGAAGATATGCAGTGCAGTAAACTTGTTTTATTCTTTGTTTTATTCATGTGTTGTCTTACATGACAAAAATGTCAGTCTGAAAACTTTTTGGTTAAAAGCAGATGTTTTTCGATCTGTTAAATAAAACTGGCTGTGAGCGTGTTTTTGCCTGGCGTCCTCACTGTGGTTTGGGTTGAGCCCCCCCCCCCACCCCCCCAACACACACACACACAGCACGTCACCCTGCTACCCACAGAGCAGCTGCACCACCTGCATGACCCTGCATTGGAGTTCATTACATATTTATTGAAACCCAACATAAAAAGTATCATTATTGTTACTCAGCATCAGTAAATACTTTTTACTCAAATCCTTGTACGCTTTTCGCTTTAAAAAAAACTGGTATCTGGAGAACCCCAGTCCTTTTCCTTGTTCCCCAAAATTAAAGGATCAGGTTACAGCTTTTGTTCACTACCACTTTTTTTCATGTTTACCCAAGCGTGTTGAAATCAGGACTTGTGTTATACGTGTACATACAACTACTACATATGTATTTAGTACAATCACACTTTCCATAACTGTTGCACCTCTGTTCTTCTGCCCTGTGTCTGTACTACAGGAGGCTGCAGGAGGAAGAGCAGCAGCTGAGGACGTCCTCTCTTCCGGCCATACCAAATCCCTTTCCGGAGCTGTGCAGTCCTGCGAGCTCTCCTGTACTCAGTCCTGGTTCCCTACCTCCTGGAGAGCCCTCCACTGGCAAATATGTGAGTTCCCGCCCCACAAAGATGCTCTCATTGAACCCCATCCTTCTCCAGAATCTCTGGTTTTACAGAAGAAAAAAAACCATTCCTCTTTGATATAATTAAAAAATGTGGTCGCACTGAACACAAAACATCATGAGCGACGATCAGAGGGCTTTTCGGCCTTTGAAAAACAGGATACGAGACATCTGCTGATTTTGATTTACTTTTATGTTATGTCGATGCCTGAGACATGTGTGACTTATCATGGTGACATGTGTCACTTGTTTTGAAGGTTCCAGAAAATTCGAGCATCGTAAATCAGCTGTTGTTCGTGGTCAGCACTATGAAAGACATAATCGTCAAAGAATTCTTTTCCTTGCTCGACATCTGCCCCCATGTTTTGCCCTCCTGAGGCATGTTGATTGCTTACACATGATGGTACTGTGTGTTGTACTGTGCATCTGTGTGTGCTCGACACGCTCTGTGGCATCAGGAGGGGGAGGAGGGGTAGGAGCAGGAGTTTGCGTGTCTGACAACTTATTTTTTTGTGCCTTTATTACTACTGTGTTTTGTGTTGAAAAATGTACAGACGAGTCTGTCTATTCTTGGAAGTCCCTCCATCATCACTGTTAATGATGTACATCTGGGATCAGATTGGTTACAGTAACGTACCAGTTTACAGTAATGGGAGTGAGACCTACTTCTCATAAATGCTTTGCCTGGTTATGATTTGGATCTGTTCTGGTCATGAACCCCTTGATTGCAGTTCCAGTTAAGTTGTTTTTGGATTAAATTAATCTGCTCTCAGTTAAAACAACTCATATATCACTTAGTAAACTTGTGGAGTCCCATAACAGCTCAAAGAGCCGGGGATGTGGTGGTTTTAAATTACCATCTGGACATAAATAAAGCTGTAAATGGTAAATGCTGGACAGAGCCCTGATGGGGTTTTTTCCTCTCCGTAGTTCTCTTGAAGTTCTTTTTTTTTCTTCTGGTTACCTAGAAATTCACACCCTGTGACCAAAAAAGCTGGAAAATTTACATAATATGAATTTAGAATTCAAAAGGAACTACTGCTGAATGTGTATTTTTCCAAGTTTTCAGATGATATTGCAATAGAAGATGCCAAAATACTGCAACTGACTCACTAACGTTGGCTTGGATCTATCCTAAAAAAACATTCTCACTTACTGTAAACTATCTTTGACTAGCCTGCCTGCAGTCCAGATCTTTATCCTATTGTAAATCAGACACAGGAGGAGAATCACACTATGACCAACTGTTGAGCAGTTCTTGTCACAAACACAGCGGGAATGATAAACACACAGTATATTATTTGCAAAAAGAAGAGAGGCTAGAGACTACTGTTACTTTGAATTATATTTCAGAAATGTTAAAATATCACTTTGATTTTGTCTCCTACAGCCTCAGTTATTTGCTTTCAGTGGCCCACACTTTACATGTGTAATTTGCAGGGTCCAAGTTAGATTATGTGCTTCATATTTTTACTCTTTTTCCAAAGCTTTGAATCACACTAAGTGGTTCACCACAGGATGAGACCATATTTCTCCAGCATTTTGGGTAAAACCGCCTTTCTGGTCACACACTGAGTCAGACAATGGTGAAAAAAAAGTTAATTCAGAACTTTTTGTTTTTGATTTAGTTTGTAATATTTCTTTTTTGAGCCAAGGTAAGTCATTGTGTGTGTTCAACACAGCATGGTAAATCCCAGGTCATACTGTAGGTGGAGCAAAGATTAGTCCGCTGCTAAGTTATTAAGAGCTTGGCAACAGTTGGTTGCTGCCATGACAGAACATTGGCTCAGTACAAGTCCAGTCATTGTGTCTGCTGAATATTCATGAAGTATTTTAATAATCGGTGCGTGCAGTGCATCCATCCAGCCATATTGGTGCATTTAACTTTTAGACCCATGGGTGCTTGTGCTTACATCTGCTTGTTTGTCTTGGTGAGGACTCCTGTAAACAGCATACAGCATTGACTGTGTGCATTCAATGTTTATTTCAATGGAAAAATCTGCCTCAATTAGTTTGTTCTTCTGTGGAAATTCAAACTGGCGTGGTGACAAATGTCCATCCTCCAGTTTCCAGACTCTGGAAACAGTCCAGTGTCACTCAGTGACAGACTCTCTTATTCCTCTCGCTCTTTTCCTCTTTACCTCAGTCATGGCCTGCCTCTGCAGGAGGCATGAGGACAAAGTGAAGGCCTGTCAGAATGAACTTGACAAGCCGTTTGGCATGGCCACATGGTTAGGCATAATTTCACTTTTCTCCACGTCAATCCGTCCTTTCAGTTTTGCACTCAGCCTAGCAATTGCCAATATCTAGAAAGAAATGTTAAAATATAGCCAAATAGTGGCTTAGCAATGGTTATCATTTGTATAAAAAAGGGCATTTGGTCAGGAGAAACTGTTTGAGAAAGTGTAGGATTACAGCATAAAATGCTGTTTTTTAAAAGTTGTACATATATCATGAAACTCCGGTGAGGAAAACAGTGTAACATTTGATGGACTGTGGCTGAGTTTGGGCCACTCACACAAAACAAAAACTTGTATTGTGTATTGTATAACAAACTTAATGTTGACTTCATGTTATTTCAAACATACATGTAACTTTCCATACACAGCCAAAGTGCATATTCAGACCACAGTAGATTAAACATGTTTCAAACGTGGCCCATTTAATCAATGTCATGTGGTGGAAACATAAAGTAGTCCCAAATGCAAAGCAGTTAGTGAGAATATGCATTCATTTTCCCAGTCTAGGTTTTTGACAGTCTGTCCTCAGTCATGCTGTAGAGAGTGCGCTTTTATGCACTTACTTGGACACTGTTCCCTCAACTGCCCGGCTCGTCTTAGTGTGGAAACAGCGATTCGATCACTGGTTTGCATGATTTTGTTGGATTTACTGTACTTGGACTGGGTGCCCTGCAGCTCACGTGGCTCTATGGTATGGCAGGATCCCATGTCCCGTCTCCTCCTTCCAGTCTGTGTTTTATTATCTACCTATTAGTGCGTATTTTTGGGGGGACTTTGTGTCAGTCTTGTGTTACATGTGTTCCTCTGTCATCTCTTTGCTCTTTTGTGGTTTTGAGTTTCAAGTGAACTTCTTGGTGATTTTTAAGCCACAGGCTGAAATACAGTACAGTGTGTCCTGTGACAATTTGGCTTCACTTGATGAATACTGATTCACACATGATGAAGTCACAGGACTAAAATAGAGCCCGGTGCCAGACAAGCAGTGGAGGATGGCTTGGCACTGATACTGTTAGCAAATGAGCTGTTGGTGCTCGGGGGCCAGCATCACTGTCCAGCTGTACAAGGCGCACAAATAGTAATTTGTTACAAAGGGCAACAGGTAGGAAGTGTTGAAAGGCCTGTACAGACATTTCTGTTTGTGTCTGTGATGCACACTACAGGCTTTATTTCAGTGTTAGGCATCCATCTGTCAAATACAGTCAAAGCGTTAATCATCTGTTGCATATACCGACCGCATCTATATTTGCTACTACCACAGAACAACAGAACAACCAGCTCTTATTTCATTACCATGACATTGTGAAAAAAATGTGATTTGTAAAAATTAAAAACCCTTAACCTTTACAGAGACTTCCCTTTGCATTACTGAAGGTTCCAAAGATTCATGAATATATTTTTATCGATATATTGACCTAGATCAAACACAACATCAGTATTTATTCAAGTATTTATATTTTCTTTATTTTAACATCATATCGTACTATTTTTACATTTTTTGAGTCATACAGATTACTTTTTATCTATGACTTTTTAACTGTAACACACACATTTAGGTGTAGAAATCTAGAAATGCAATGTTTTTACCTTCTGGCCTGATATTTTTTAAGTTCTTCTTTTACTACTATTTAATCTAGCCGCGTCCTTTCAACACATTTAGCTGCTGCTGTGCTTATTGTCATTAACATTTACACTAATGATGATGGCGCTGATCACCTCTCCACCTCTTCCCACGTTTCCTAACGACCCCCGTCTCTCCGTCCTTGCATGACTTTGCCTGTAGTTGAGTGAGTCATGCTTCAAGCTGTGACAACCTCTGATCAAAAAGGACTTCTTTTGAATGCTGTCAGTATCAGGTGTTCTCTCTAGGGGTATAATTTTAATGATGAGATCATGGTGTCAGCAATGTCACCTAAAGCCTGAAAAAAAATCCTTCAAAATTTACCTAAATTTAAAGTGATTTCTCAAGCAGGAGTGAGTAAAATGTGAAACATAAGGTTAAATGTAGACGGGAGCTGTGCTTCCTTTTTCTTCCCGACATTCCAAGAAGCTAAAATGACTCATGGCTTTGAGGAGTTTCTACAGAATCTTAATTTTAGAAGCAATATCCCATAATTCATATCACCACTGTAGCTGACAGAAGATGGCTGAGGATAATTTGGTCGCATTAAATGTCACATGATTTCTGTACGGGTAGAATACACATAGTTGTGTAAAATGCATTAGTAGCTTTTACTGCTACGAGGTAAGGTAACAGTAGACAAACCAAAGCAGAGGAATCAAACCAGGAACACCCTGTCCGTACACGATAGGCATCGATACACCCCTCCTTCCTCTGTCTTAGCACTGAAGCATGGCATTCCCTGGCTGCCTCCTTCCTGAATGTTGAAAATGGTCTGGGTCAGAGGGCAGTTTTTTCCACTGTAAATGGAAAAGCAGAATGGAATGCTGTCGGCGTTCAAACCATTGGCCTCAAAATGTGGGAATGTCTGTGGGTCTGTGCACATTTGTGAGTGAGGTTTTAGTGAGTGTTGGGGAGGAAGAACAGGGTTGTGACTTGCATGCGTGTGTCTAATGTATGTGTGTTTGTATATGCAGCAGTCAGCGCTGGGTGTCTGCGTGTTCTGCTTCTCATTGTAGTGCTGATGTGTTCTGCAGGCTGCACTGTGGGCAGATCCAAGGTGACACAGCGCCAACAATCTGCTGGCTCACTCCTCCAGCAGCCAGCCTGTGTTGAAGTCATTCTTTAACTGGAACTAGGAACACAAATATATACTGATGCATTAGTTGTTTCGTGTGCAGCCTTTTCAGTGTGATGAGGTCCTTTGATACTGATTTAATGTCCCTGTGATTAGGACATGTCTGAGATTGCAACGTGACATCCTGGATGATGTTTCAGAGATCATTGAGTGTTTGGGATTTTTTTTCCAACACCAGACACTTTCACTCAGGTGACAGAGTCGATGAGACTCTGGAGTTGGTCCCAGCAGCATTTGGCAATGAGCTGGATCTCTTGAACCAAACCATCTGGAGTCTTTTGGCAGCTTCCATTGGGAACTCGATGCATTTCTTTCAGACAATCTGGTGATGGCAAGCAGGCTGTAGAGTTAGCTCAGTGGGCAGCAAAAACTGCCAATCTGTACTAATTTGTAATAGTTTGTGAAAATAAATTATATGATTAAATGTATTATTGAGGTCATCTGTGTGTGTGCGTTTGTGTGTAAATGATGCAGCCTGGCAACAGAAACTAATTTTCCAGGTTTTTATTTAATAGACAAAAGGGACAAAGAACACATTTCTGTTGTTGTTGTTTTTTGACTGCCGAAACGTATTATTTATATGTTGAACATAGATCGTTTGATTTGCTCTATGTACTCAGAATAATTTGAAAACAAAAAACATACAAAAACATACAGGTTGCTGTGTGGAAGGGTTTTTCCGTTTCCAGGTACTGACTGGAGTTTTGTCAGTTCAAATATATGTCTCTGTTTAAATGGCCCAGAATTTTAATTGATTTTTGGTTATTCTGTGAAAAGATTCCCAGAGTCAGGAATGATGCCTGTGCATCTGCCAAAACCCAAGGTCAAGAACTGCTGCCTGCTGTGCTTGTAATTGGAACCCCAGGGCTGTGCTGCAGTACAAAGCACAATATTATTATAGTGGACAGTTAGACTGCAGGACATTATATTATCAGATGTGTCTGCAAATGTCTGCACTAATAGATGAAGAGGGGACGAGACACTGGTGACAGTAGTATTACACAGTTACGGCCTTTTACACAGTGAGGAGGTGGATAGTTATCTATCTGTTAATCCACAACACTACTTTGTCCTGCTACCACACTAATAAAAAGTTTAGTGTTGTGTTAATGCAACAGTTTTTAGTTTTTTATTAATTATTATTATTATTATTATTATTTCAAGTGTTGAAAGGTCTCCTTTTGAGACCATTAAACACACATACACATATGTAATCTGCTTAATGCACAGACATTCTCAAACACACACACACACACACACATACATCTTTTTCAGGCCTTGACAGACATTAATTTGGTAATGCTTTGTCAGATTACTTGTCTCGTTCTCAGCCGTGCACACTCGTCGGTGCCGAGATAAGATTTGCAGGATACATCGCAGCGTTGCTGTCAAATACAAATTGTTCAGTTGTGGTTGAACAACTGCAACCTGGAGGAGAGCCAGGCAGGTTGTGGTTGACTCTGGAACATCTCATGTGTCAGGGCCGTATTTATCCCTCACAGCTAAATGAAAACATGCCTGGACCTGCTGCTGTCACACTGAGACACACATGCACAATGGGACTCACTGATACGCATGACCAGTTTCTAAATAACAAGGCAGGTAAGGCAGATTTATCTAACACTGAAGGTACAACTTGGGGTTAACTGTTCTGCCCAGGGGCACAACGGCATTGCAGACCACCAGAGATGAGGATTAAATCTCTGAAATATATCACCAACCACTGGAAGGCTGGGGTTTGTTATAAAATGTATGGAGGCATCTTATTGGTCACGTTTTACCGTTTTTATTGAGGTGAAGGTTGGAAACCACAGGTTATAAATATTAGCAGGTGGTTAATAATTTACACGGTGCCTAAATTAGATCTCAAATGAAATAAATGTGTTTTCATCGGGAGCACGACTGGACCACCCAGGCACCTTTAAGCGATCCATCTTTCACTTCTCGTCCCAGGGGGTTAGAGAGCGTAAGATTAGAAGCCACAACTTTTACCCAGCTAATGGGGCAAGATCCCATTACTCCTGCAAATAATGCTCAGTCCTGATAGCGTTGCTCCATCAGTCTCTTTAGTTTAGACCGTCGGAGTATCCAGTGCATGTCTGTCTGTAGTGTTCCTATTCTACAAATGAACATTTCTTTGTAAAACTTTCACTGTCACTGTCGATAGAACCCTTTAAATTCAATCTTTCCCTGGTAGAGAACGTCCCCTATTAAAATTAACGTATTTTTATTTGATACTAAGTTTCAGGTTACTCATAATTGCGTGAACACAGGTGCACATATCTGTGTCCTCTCTGCAAAAAGAGCAAAGTCTTGCTGCCTGTAGGCATTTCATCTGGTCAAAGCTGAAGAGGATTGAATTCATGTAGGTCATAGAGACTGCATCTCTCTCTTTCTCTCTGCGCCTCCCCCTCTCTCTAAGGAAAAGTAGGACAGCTCAGATTTCTGAATCTGCTGCTGCTGCTGCTGTAACAGGCAATGGAGAAGCGAGGTAAGAAAGAAAGCAAAGGGATGAGGAAAAGACAATGATTAAAGCTGCCACGTGCAAATTGAAAGTTTTTAACCACTTATTACTCAGCACCCCGTTATTTTCCCGTTGTGTTGCCCATCTGCCACTTATCACAGAAACATTTTATTATTTGCTTAGATAGCTGCACAGGTGATGCAAACACGTAATGCCTTGCAGATGTAGTGCAGTGTATCAGAGAGATTTTAGAGAAACAGTTTGATATTTTCTTTAGCTTAGTCTTTACCTTAGAGGCTGTGTGAAGCAGCAGACACTGATATCTGCATATTCTGGATTAGATGGAATATTTAGTACACAACTGTGGCACAGTGTGAGTGTTGCCTGTAATGATTCAGTCCTCATCCTCATTAATTTTTAGTAAAAATAGAATGAAATACTCATCTGAAATGGTACATCTCTGCATTCAGCCTTACGCAGAGTTCCTGAAGTGTTGGCTGTTTCTCCTTTGGTAATGTTTAGTTGCCAGATTGTCTCAGTGTGACTCTGTTTGTCGCAGATGTGAACTAAAGATCCCTCTCTTTTCTATGTTATTGACAGTGAGGCCATTGACATAAATATGTCAGACAAACAGCTAAGGTGAAGTGGATAATGTTAGAGAGCCATGATGGAGATGGTCTGGACATGTGCTGAGGAGAGATAATGGATAAATTAGACAAAGAATGTTGGAGATGCATCAGTCAGGTATTAGTAGTAGGTTTACAGGGTGGACTGGAGTGCAGCAGTTATATTCTATTGTAAGTCTGGTCATTTTAATACTGGCCCCTCCCCCCTTTAAAGAACATTTAATCAATACATTTAAATGGATTCCAAACCATCAATAAACTCTAAAATTGTAATGTTAACCAGTTCTCAATGGTAACATGGGGGATGCATTCATTTAATGTTATTTATGACTTGACCTAAATCTGTGTTACGTACTATGCTAATCAAATTTGTCCAATCTTGGATCCAGAACCTTCTAGCCTTTTAGTCTCTGAGTAATAAACCTTCTGTGGTTTCACAGAGAACAAACCTACATACAGTGTATGTTATAATGGGTGACTAGGGGCAGTGACTACATCCCACCTTTAAGGAAAGGATGGTGAACTACATCACACAGTGTCAGTGGTAACTTGGCAGATGGTGGATTCAAACCTGCAACCTTCAGGACCCACTTCTAACGCTCCGGTCACTGTTTCCACTAAGTCCATGTCTGTGTTGTCCTGGGTCCTAAATTGACACTGTAATTGGACAGCAGGGGGACAGGTCAGAGTCCCTTCCTCATGAGTCAGCAGAGTTTTGCTGTCCATTGAAACCAGCTCTTGTGATTACAGGGGCTGAGCGAGTGACGTCCAAGTGTCTGAAACTCATTCAGTTTTTATTGTCTCCAACTCATCATTCCACTGTCATATTCCAGGGGTGGGCCGGGCCACACACAGTCAGAGGGGCTCCACTGAGGGTACTCGCTAATGAGGCTATGACGTTTGGATGAGTCATGTTGTTGGAAGCAGCTGAGTTCTTCAAGTTCTTTGTTCGTGTATCATGTGAAACAGAATGGAGAGATAATGGTTTATGCCAAGACAATTGAGAAGACTTTGTGTCATGCAGAACTAAAAACTCAGAAGCTTTTTTTTATTTTGAGCAAACGTCTGTGCACTGATGTCTACACTTGATTTATGGTTTTTCCATTTGGCTTCTATATCAAGTATTTATTTGGACGATCCTTTCATTTCTGAAATGAAAGGATCTGTTTTTTAATGTTGACCCTTTGCTGTGAATAGATTCATAACAACAGATATTGCATTTTGTGTCATAGTCTACAGCTGCCAGCAGGTTTTTAAAATCACTAGGCACAAACCCAGTCATTAAATGCAGTCATGTAAACCTGTTACTATTTATGGAGTCTTGCCTGTCGTGTGCAAAGTCATGCACCTTGTGTGCGGATAAAAAGGCATCATTAGCCTGTGAGCAAAAATTCTCTAGCCTAAAAATGCTCAGATGTTTTCAGAAGCTTTGATATTGTATTTGGACACTGATGTTTAGCTAAGAGCAAAATCACAGCATTTCACCCTTGTCTTTAATTCATTAGCTTGAATAGATCTATTTTTTAAAAGTGAACCTAGATCACTGGATCGAGCTGAATCCACCATTACTTTCACCAATGTTGAGATATGTACTAGAATGGGGTTTGAAACCCTGGATTTTCAACATTGTATTTTAAGTTTGAATGAATGAATTTCAGGTGAGTCCCTGTTTTCGTAAGGCCAAGTGTTCCAGGAAAAGTCCAGCTTGAAGTAATATTTAAGTGTCATATTCTTAGGGGAAATGACTGTGATGAACAAGTAATCCAGTCTCATAAACCAACCAGCCTAAATACATGTCATTTTATGGAAAGATAAATACTGGTCAGACTCAACTGGTTTGCTGACGATGACAGCCTTTAAGTTGGCAAAGACCATTTATAAAAATAATGTTTCTTGGTAAAGGAGAGTACACTGATGTTGAAGAAGGAGAAACACTTTTGCCTTATTTATTAATTGTGGTTTGCTCTTTATGATGCAGCAGTGGTTGGCTACTGGGCAGAACTGAATCTGGAACTGTTTGGCACATGGCATGTGGGAATTTTCCCTCTGTGACACCCTTGCCCAGGAGCTCCCAGAATGGGGTATGGGAACCTCTAAGGGGGTGCTATGCTATGGAGGGCAGCAACAAGAATTTGAATTTCATTTTTTTATTTTTTTGTGTTGTCCCACTAAAGGGAAAATGCATTTGATTTTTTACTGCCTTGTTCAACAAGAAGAGCAGTTTTACAGGAGTTGCAGTGTTTTAAATAAAGTGTCGTCTCTTTGCACTCTTCACCTAACCCCCCTCCTCCCACCCACCCCCCAGGTTCTTTCTGTCAATATTCTACTCAGACATACAGTAGAAGCTGTCGCAAAGGAATGAAGGTTGAAGCTAAATTTGACAGAATGTCAAATAGAAATTGAGTGCAGGATTTGAAACACGAGCAACAAATTGTTCACCTGTTCAACATGTACAGCACACATTACAGGTGTAATATCGTAATCTCTGTCACACTGCTCTACACCCTCAATCATTCGAAACCATTTGGTGACATTGTTTTGAAAAAAAAAACACTAAGCTGCCTGAAGCTCTTCAATTACCTCGTCACATCACTGACAAGTCAAGGACGGTAATGTTTATGTGCAGGCAGGAGCCTCATGACTAACAGTCTCTCAGAAATGTAATCTGCCACGGTAACTCCTATCTGATGTAATCGCTTGTAATTAGTACGTAACACCAGTGGAACTATTTATAAACCGGCCGCCAAATCTAAAGGAGATGGATGTGTGGATGCATGTGAACCACTGAACGTGCACTCACACGCGAGCACACATACCTCAGTTAGCGCAGGGCACGTCCTGACGCAGTGCAGTCGACGTTCTGTTTGTCTTTTCATGCGTGTCTTTTAGTGCTGGTCTTTATGTGTCTTTTTTAAGGCTGTGGAAGGATTGATTGATATTTTCTTAACGTGTGCAGAAACCATTATATGCACAAAAATGTTAAATATGCAGTATGTGCTGCAAAGCGTGTCAGAGTGTCTAAGGAAGTGCTCGCATGACTAAGCACATCTGGAGGCCTCGGTGTCTGATGGTGTGTTTTGGGGGAAAAAAAGTTTCCCCAGTGTGAATTATATAAATGTTAAAGTGAGGACATATTACATGTGAAGACGGGGTTAGTTAAGGTTTGGGTTCAGTTTACATAATGTTAGGTTAAAGTTAGGGTAAGATTAAGGCAAGTTGTTCTTTCTTCATGTTCTTTTTTCTTTCTTTCTCTTTTTTCAATGGCTCATTTTAAAAAAAAATATTTTTCTTATTTTTTGTCTATTGTATCACTCTTCATTTTTCGTTTTCTTTTCGCTTTTTTCTTTCTCTTTTCTTAATTTTCTTTCCTTTTTTTCTTTCTTGCTTCTCTTTCTTTCTTGCTTGCTTCTCCTCTTTAGTGCTGTTTTAATAGGATTACTAAGAAGTGGAGCAGGAAATGTGTCACTCCACTGTCACCTCCGTCAGCTCCTCATTCCTTCCCTTCCTCAGGATGTGTAATGGTTCCGCCCAAGTTCATGATAAAATGTCCACCTTGTCTACAGGACCGGCTCATGTTTGACTAGTTATGTTCAGACGGCACAAGTGAAATATTGCATCAGAGCGGAGCTCACAGCTAATGCACAGCCAATCAGCTGATCTGTATCAGGTGACTGTTGAAATCACCAGACACATGACTGTGACTAAGATGTCAAGAATATAGCCTTGCTCTGATGTCTATTGATTTATGATGTCTAATAAAAAGCCTCTGTGCCAATATTTAACAATTTACCAGATATTGTTAGTCACTCCATGGACAAATACAATTAATACCCATTACAGGGACATTTAAGTTGAACAACCTTTACAGCTCAACTGTTGGTTGGATTGGACTGCTATCCAGGTCCTTTTTTTACAGGCAAATTAGTAATAACGATTCATAATATTAACTGTTTTAACCATATAATAACAAAAATGTTCAGTAAATGTGCTTCCTATTGTATTTTTGAATCCTGTTTTTTTCTGTTTATTTGCCGTAAACAGCAAATCCTGCCTCAACTTTTATGGGTTAAAGAATGAGGCAGTGAGTTGTGCCTATGCGGTGTACAGAAGAACCAGTACCTGCAGCTGTGAGGTTGCCTTTACCCATATCATCAGGGTGTGTTATTCTGATTATAATATGTGCTATTTTAATCAGCCTTACGTGTTTGCATGCACTTAAAAATCCAATTTCAGTCAAATTAACACGATAATCCTGTTTTCTCCGATGTCACTTGAACAAACAGAGTGTTGTGCTGGATTGACAACCATGACATCAGATTAATGTTCCTGTCAACTACATTTTCACACTATGGAGAAGATGAAAGATAATTCTTAAATTCAAACATTTTAGAATAATAAAATGTGACTACTCCTGAAACTTTAGGTTTGACCTCGTCCATTACAGAGTTGGAAACACAGGCATAATTGTCAGAGTCCTACTTTGAATCTACATTATATGACCTAATTATTTTGAGAATTGATCAAACCTTAACCTATGGGAACAATACTGAGCTATTTTTGTTTAGTAGTCTTAGACATTAGACTCATAAATAAAAAGCAGTGTCTTCCAGTAGAGACAAAATTCTTCCAATAAATGTTGGAAATTATTTTGAAAACATTTTCTGTGTTATTTAGAGAGATTAATGTGTTATGATTTGTTAAAATAGCAACCTTTGGCTGACTCCAATTTCCAAAGACTGGCATTGGTGACAAGAAAAACCATGTTGGTCATTGTCCAGTCCTGAGCTTCGTCCAGTCCTGAGCTTCGACCGTTTGAAAAACCACTGCCCTGGAATTTCCAAACAGACTTAAACACTTTCTGCAGTAGAAGAGTCAACGTTGGCTGGCTGATTAATCACCTCTCATAATTGTGGCACTTAAACCTGGGTTGAGGCACGTATGATTGGTGCAGCCATTCAGGGGCTTTCCCCCTCAGGGCAACTGTGACGTATTGACGAAGAGGGTGTGAGTCTCACTGTGTGCTCAGACTGTGTGTGTAGTTAGAGAGAAGGGGGGAGGGCAGTGAGACAGCTGTACCGGCTAGATATGTAGTTAACAGTAGAAAGCATTCATACTATACATTCTGCTGCACTGTGTCACCAGAAAGTCTCTCTCTCCCCCTCTCTCTCTCTTTCCTGCTCTCCCCCTTCTCTCGTTCTCTCTCTTCCCACTCTTGCCCTTCACTTCACATGTCCATCTATCTCCTGTTTCGCTATTTCCCACACACACACCCACGTATGTGCATGTCTCTATGTGCAGTCATACACGCACGCACTCTCTCCCTCCCCTCCCCCAGCCCACAAACTCCCCTCTCCTTCCCTCTCCTCATCCTCAAAGTTTGCCAATGTAGTAAAAAAGTGGTGGGCCCATACCTTTTTGCCTGCAATGACTTTTTACCACAATTTCCTTCTTCCTTCTGTGGAACCTATTCCTGGATTACATACTGGAGTCATCCAAACACACACACATTCCCTTCCCCTCCTAAAAGAAAAAACCCAAAGTAGCTGCTCGACCAACATAAAACTGTTCTCACCTCTCCCAGACGGGGTGTGTCAAGGCTTTTGTGCGTGCAATGCTATATTAAATATCTGGGGTTAAAAGGTGTGCATGTGTGTGTGAGAGTGCGTGTGTGTGTCTGTGTGAGTGTGTGAGGGTGAGAGAGAAAGACTGACTCCAAAAAAAGAAAGTTGGCAAAAGCTGTTGGTGCTTGGGAAGTCGAAGGCTGCATGGTTCACAGATCTTTAGGTTTTATTTTATATCTTTGGTTGTTGAATTGTGTGGATACTGATATAAAGCAAGTCAACTCACAACTCCAGTACTTCAATAAAAGATGAATAAAGATTTGTTTTTTAGGAATTCAAATGGCCTTTCTTTGGATTCGTTTAGCTTACATTAAATTGGATTTAATTGACAGTGAATTTTAAAAAGATTAAAAAGATTAATGATTAATGATCACCATGTTTTAAAAGTTGATCTCCTTATGTTCTAAATGATAAGCAGAAAATGGATGTCAAAGTTAAGAAAATAAATACTTCCCCACAGCAATTTCTTTCAACACAGATGTTGAGAGTGGAGCATGTTGTACAACATTAGCATTTATATACATATATATTCTATCAGTTAAATGTTAATACTTGTGGTAAATCAACAATATAGTCTAAATGTAGCGTAGAGGACACTGTTCTGTTGCACTGTACACCTCCACATTTAAAACCCAACACCTGCAATCTGGCTTCACATGATGTCATACTGGTCTATTTTTATTTTAATGATTAACTCTTGTCATTTCACTCTGAAAATTAAAGCTTTATACTCGTTATTTTCTGCGCATTGTTTTCTTATAGTCATACTGCATCCCGTGAGTTGCAATACTGCCACCTACTACGTTTGCTGTTCCATGTGGTACTATTTCTACTTAAAGGATTCTGTTCCCTTGCAGAAACAAAGAAAAAATAAGAAACAAAACTGACCAAGGACCAAGTTGGGGACATCAGAGAAGAGAGAATGCATTTCATAAGATTTAATCATTTATTTTGGGGGAAGTTTCTGCGTCCTACAGCCTGAACCCACAGGGATGAAGGGGGTGAAGAAATGAGAAGTAAAAAACCAAAGGAAAAACCCTGAACATTTTTCAAGCGATAAAAGCGTCAAACTTTTCTTCTCCTTCCTTTATGGGTTTTTCTACCTATTCCTGCACCTCCTCCTTCTCCTCCCCGCTCCTCCTCCCCCCTTGTCTTCATTGCCCCACACCCTTCTCAAATGAACACTCTCGTTTTGAGCCTGGGGAAGAAACTAAAGCAGGGAGCTGAAAAAGTTGGCTGTGTCAGTCCATGACTATGCGTCTGTGTGTCTACTGCGTGTGTGTGTGTGTGTGTGTGTGTGTGTGTGTGTGTGCGTGCTTCTTAGGGAGTGTATGTGCCTCTGTGTGAGTGTGCACGCACCCTGGTCTGTGTGGGAATGATTACATCAGCCTGCTGCAGCGTTATGATTGGTCGGTGAGCGTGTGGTTTGATTCAGTGTGCCTTGGAGCCTGTGGCTGTGGCTGTAACCCTTTGTGAAGAAGAGAGAGGGGGAGAGAGAGAGAGAGAAATAGAAAGAGAGAGAGAGGGAGGGAGGGAGAAAAAGGAGGAAAAGATAGTTGTCAGACTGAACTGGCGTGAAGCGCTGTACTGTACCTGCTGCCATCTGATCGCTGACTGTCTCTGTGTCTCTGTCCTGTGGGCTACAAAGACACTGGCTTTGGGTCACACTCATAGATGTGTCTTTATTAGACACCCAGCAGCTCAGACAGACTGAAGGACTTTGGGCTGTGTGACTGTCAACACCAGTGGGACTGTCATCTGATGTGGAACTGAAATTTGTATTTCTTTTTTTTTCTGGAGGAGACAAGGCAACAGAAGCAAGAAGGTTTTCTGTCTTAGTGCCTGGGAGTGTGTGTGTGTGTATGTGTGTGCGTGTGTGTATGTGAGACCGGCTTAGTCCAAAAATGCCTTCATATTCCCCGGACTGCTGTCTGTTACGGGCCATAGAGGTAAGACTGCTCTCTTTTCTGTGCCTCTAATGTCTCCTTCTCATCTGTCCTTGCTTCCTTCACTCGTATTTTACCTTTTCAAACCCATTTGTTTTTCCTTAACTACTGCTCTGTTAAACCATATTTTAGTGTATGTAAAGACCTCTAAGACAAATTGACTTTTCCGAGGTGTAATTTCAAAGAAAGAGTCCAGTCTGTCAGTGACTACGAATGTTGCAGTTTCTTCTGGTTTTTCCCTAAAGCGTTTGGATGTAGAGAATGAACTGAAATGCTACGAGCTGCATTTGTTTGCATTTTAAGGAATATTATGTGGGAAGCTTGCATATATTATATTGTAAGCTATCTGACTGGATTTATGTGAAGGCTAAGAAGGCTGGATTCCTCTGCAGGTTAAGTAGGCTGCTCCACTTTCCTCTGTGGGCCATGTAATGGGTTTGAATATGAACATGACTGCTTGGTTCCTCTGAATAGACACTAAGTAAAAGTAAATTTAGCACCGTGTATTTTAATTGTAGTGGCATCTATTTTGATGGCAGACTTTTTTAGGGTAAATCTTGCACTCTAGGAACCTGGTGTTTTATGTAACCTCGTACAGATGTAACAGCATCTTCAACACATTAGTCACACTGTACACCAGAGATGAATTCAACGTGAGGTTTGCAATATGACCTTTTAAAGTCAGGGTTTTGTTTGGCGTTTAATGTGCAACAGAATAAAAATAATGAATCAGAATTTTTTTTTTTTACAAAGTGCTCTTTTTGATTGGGATGGAACTGTTTCTGTCATTTATATTTTTTCATGTATAATACACTTTTGCTGCCATTTTTGTTACAGAAAACATGAGCCATTCTTTACACTGTTACTGCTGCTATTGGATTTTTTAAGTCAAATGCAAATTTAATTGCTAACAAATACATTTTCAGTCTTTGACAAACACTATTTTAAGGCACAGTAGAAGAATCTCCTTCAGCTGTAGATTTCTTATCACTAACTGTTGTAGGTACATAACATTTGGACAATTGTCATGAGGAACTCATTACTGTCATAGCAGAAGAATAAAAATTATTATTATTAAAAATATTCATCATTCGTTTATCATCATTTTAACAGGAGCCTATGGGTTTTTAATATATTCATATATATATATATATATATATATATATATATACAGTACAGTATATATATATACAGTATATATACAGTACATGCAGTATAGATATTCTCTGATGTTTGTCATTGTCTGCAGGTTGTGTCATTGTCATTAAGTTTTTTTTATCTTCTGTTCTCTGTGCTCAGAAATAGACTACATGAATTGTAGCCTTTGTTTTCGACCGTGCTATTGTTGCAGAAGTATACGTTAGATTTGGTTTGTGTTTTTGCATCAAAAAAACGTGGTTCAACTTTGCCATACAAGTTGGCTGTCTATTACAGATACTGTCATCCATCTTCCTGCTTATTTGCTCTAAACTACAAACTACAGTGTATATCCAATTGCTGCCTTATGTTCTCAAGACCAGATGCTTGTCAAACACTACAGTATATTTGCTACTTCATTACACCAAGTTGGTCTAAGTAATGCCTGTCTGGGATTTGTAACGCCACAATTGAACGTCTATGCTTTCCTATTGTGTACCATAATCACAGGGCTGCATGTGCTTTAGTGTATGGAGAGCTATACGCTAACTACTGTTCTAGTTTGAAGAAAATCGCTGGCTTCACCAGACTGTTAGACATGAGGTTTTCAAGAATGTCTGATTTGAACTCTACTGTAGTTTTGTTGAATTTGTCCTTGTGCAAAAGTATCTAACTGATGTAAAATTAGTTTTATCATTTTTTTCTCATCTTAACAAAGATGTTTTGTTCTTGCAGATTGTGAAGGTCTTCAACGAAGATGGTATGGGTAAAGTTGTGGAGATCCCTGCCGACATGACAGCCAAGGATCTGTGCCAGCTCCTGGTTTATAAAAGCCATTGTGTGGACGACAACAGTTGGGTACTTGTTGAACACCACCCGCTGCTAGGACTAGGTAAGAGGGTAGGAACACTCTGCCTCACAACAGCCCACATGAACAAATGCACACAGACACACTCGTGGGCTTCCTGGGGGGTTCCGACATGCAGCACGGTCACTGACACACACACAGGTGTATTGACATGTATGTATGCACATATTCAGGCCCGCATACTGGCACATACTGTACTGCTGCATGCTCTCACGCAGGCATTTATGCAAGTATTAGCGCATGCACCAAGTCATTATGTTCAGTGACATAATAAAGATTGTCACAGCGGCTGTGTAAAAAAAAAAAGAGGGGGAGGCAGGGCTGCAGGTGCAGCAGAGCAGGGTTGTACAGCAAAAGCAGGGCAGTGCTGCATGACAATCCCAGTGCAGTCATGGAGCTCACACATTGAGCTGTTTGTCCCTGAAAAAATAATGTCGGTTAAAGCTATCGATCAGCATGTGTGCGAAGGGAAAGTGATGGAAATAAATAATGCATTGCATGTAACTGACAGGCCGGTGATTTGTCTGATTCAGCAGTTGAAAGTGGAGTGGTATGTCTGCACGATGTCTGATCTGACCGTATAGGAGCTGCTCGAAGATGTTGTCTTTATGATTAAAAGGTGACAAGTTATTCCACAGGAAGTAACTGCAGGAGTGGATGAGAGGTGGTGTGTCTTTCCCTGACTGTGATTAATTCGTCAAGTATGGGGTGAAAACAGCAGTTTTCCCTGTGCAGTTATTGGTGAACTATCAGACAATGTAATTGGCTTGTTTTTTTCTTTTTAGAAAATAATTATTTTGATTGATATTTTCTCATTTTATTAATAGCGTTGGACATTTAATGACTTTATATTTCCCTTGATAAAATCCAGTGCTCAATGGACTCCAGAATCCCATTGTGGAAAAGTCTAGACTTTCCTTATTTCTTGGCAATTTAATTGAAGAATATGGAATTCCTGATTGACACTAAAACATAGCCTTTCTCCACTTGCACTCTTCTCAGTATCAGAGACATGAGTAATGCTATTGATCCATGAATATAAATGACATGGCCGAGAGGTGGTGGAGATCAGTGATGAAGAGTTTCAAAGGTCATCCTTCTTGTTAGAGCTTCAGTGCTTCACTCTTGCAGTTCACTTTCCTGAAAATAGACTGGAGGCTCTTACTGAACCAGACACGACCTCTGAACTAATGTAGCATAAAAAGGTCTGATTGATGATAATAGACAGAAATGGATGCACCACAGCCATCAGGTTGAAAACAGACCAGGCTCACACTGCCAGTTTGGAAAGGAGTTCAGTTTCCAATAATAAAGAACAAAATAGTTCTTTGGTCATGTCAGAAACTACATAGTAACTACAAGTAGTAATTTAGACAACTGACTCTCTGGAAAGAAGCTCAATGATCTTTTTGATTGTCTGATAAGAACCTTTTTAGAAACTTCACATTTTAAAGTGCTTCTTTAAAATGATTTTTGATTGATGATTTTTTCATTCCTGGCAACTTTTACGAGTTAAAGTGAAACCAGTTCTGCAGTCCCCATTTTAATGCTAAAGCTTATACAGTAGCTATGGCTCTTCTGAATCAAAGACAGTGATTCCTTGTTTGTCCTAAGAAACATTGCTTTGCAGATAGTGTTATTATAAAAAGAGAGACTTCACAGTGTTGTTGTTCCTTTGAGTGCTGAGAGCCTACTCACAGGTTTGTGAGCTGTTGTTAAACAGTGATATCACTCTGATGTGTAGACGTTGCCTGCCAAATAGAAGGTAACCACTAACACCTTTTGATGAAAAGTCTGACTTTTCTTGTTTCTGGTCCTCCCATCAGAGTAAAAGCTGTTTCTTATGATATGTCGCTGCCATCCTGCATGAAACCCAACTAAAAATACAACTCAAGTTCAAGCCTCCCGTTCTTAGATTATGACAGCTTTGTCTCCTTTCAATAACTCCAAAAGTCATTTGTTTTCTTTATTATTGCTACATGTCACATCAAAATGACACATAAATTAGCAGAGCCTGACATGGAAAACTGGTTCCTTCACCAGGCGACTTTGATTTGTTGTTGTTGCATCAGGCAGGGAGAAAAGGAGCTTTACATTTCTGTCAGGGTGATGCTGTGTTAGACTTGG